CCTAGTTTCAGGGCGTCTGACACTCTTCTGGTCTCTGCAGGAATAGGCATGCATATGGTAAAACAACATTTTTTGTTGTTTGTTTTTGTTTTTTCAAGAGAGGGTTTCTCTGTCTAGCCTTTGCTGTTCTGGACTCACTTTGTAGACCAGGCTGGCCTCAAAATCAGAGATCTATCTGCTTGCCTCTGCCACCCTGAGTGCTGGGATTACAGGTATTTGCCACAGTGTTCGGCTTCAATACACTTTTTTTTCTTTTTTTTACAAGACTGAACTTTGAAAACACTGTGCTGAGTGAGTGAAATGCTGGCACAAAAAGACAAAGTATGGTTCCAGTTCAGATAAAATGATCACAAGTGGGAGGGCTAAGGCGATCCAGAGTAGAAAGCTGGTAGCCTGTGGTGAGGTCGGCAACTATGATCGACAGGCTGGAGGGACCGCAGTGGGGTGACAGAAATGGTGCTCAGAAAGCTTGCACTGAATGTCCCTGTGCTGTGTTCTTTACAAGGATCAGGGTTATAACATATAAATTAGCCTCTTTCCACACAAGCCCTAAGTCAGACAGCCCTCAGGCACCCCCAAGGTCCTCACTATAAAAAAGGAGGTTTAAAAGCCTGGCAGTAGTGGTTCACGCCCTTAATCCCAGCCCTCAGGAGGAAGAGGCGACGGGATCTCTGAAAGTTTGAATCCAGCCTCGTCTAGAGTCAAGACAGAGAAGGAGGTAGTACAGGAGGGGTTCCATGTTTGCAGCTCTGCAGGGAAGCCCTTGACCCTGAGCCTGGGATGATCTGTATCGCCTCCTCCCAAACCTGGACTCACACTACATACCTAGCCTGGCAGTGTTTGTTTGCGGCAAAGAACTGAATGGTGCAGAAAGTCCTTGATACTCCCTATGATGGCTCACACCTCACAGGCGTCCCCCACGGAAGGGTACAAAAGAAGGGCACCACGAAGCTCCTAGGTGCTCACATAATCGGTACCAGATCCCAGTAACTGCTAGTAAGGCCGAGGTGGGGATCTGACTACTAACGGGCAAAGCTTACATCCTGCTTCCTAGCAGTCAGGCCTCAGTTACCTTCAGCATATCTAATTAAAAACCTGAACATTTCTCACCCAGAGCCTGAGGCAGGCTGGGTACCACACTGCTGACTGAATCCATCTTTCTGAGTTGGCCCACCCCTCAGGGCTCCTCAGCTCAGACTCTGTGGGTCCCCTTCTTCTGAGCTGGGGCTTACCTAGGCCTTAGGATCTAGTTTGAGCTAAACAGATCCTCACAGTGGCTGATGAACCCTCGCCCCCAACCAAGCCACATTCAATGGCAAAGTCACCAGGTTCTATACTCATGGGTCCCCAAGGCCAGGCCACCGGACAGAGGGTCCTTCTGCTCAGCAATGTAACCATGGCCTAGACTAGAAATACCTCTCCATGCCATCACCAATGAGTTCCTCTCCATCTTCTTCATCCTCAACGGGGCCCTCGGTGCCCAGCAGCCCCTCAGACTCATCCTCAAATGGGGGGAGGTCTCTGCCAGGGCTGGAGGTGAGGGCATCAGCACGCCTGGAGCTTCGGCCCGGGCTGGAGGTAAGGGGATCACTGACTCGGCGCCGCTGCCGGGCAGGGCTAGATGCTGCGGAGAAGGACTCAGAAGATTCCTGCAAGAGAGGACGCGATCAGACACCGGAGGGACACAGGCTGAGTGTTTACCACAGGCCGTCCTGTCCACCAGGCATTGAGTCCTTCCCACCTGCCGGGCCCACTCCTCACATACCAGGTCATCTCTGGTCACAGGAGAGATGCAGTTTTGTTTTTTTGGTTTTGTTTTTTTTTTTTTTTTTACAGCCATTTACCATCTATTTCTGCTCCTTAAGTTTGTCAGCTATTTCCACACCCCAGAGACCCCATGCCCCACAATATGCTGGGTGCTGGGACAAGAGGTGAGGATTAAGACCCGTCAAGGAACAGAACAGTATTCTAGAATTGAGTGGCGGAAAGAACAGACCTTTAAACCTTTAATGAGCTTCTTGAGGGCTCTAATACTAACAGTAGATACACCAAGACTGAGGTTGAGGCCTGAGGATCCCCAAGTTCAAGGCTAACCCGCACTACAGAGTGCGTTCAAGACTAGCCTGGGTTACTTTGTGAGACCCTTCTTCTTTCTTTCCAAGACAGTTCTAGCTGTCCTAGAAGTCGCTCTGTAGACCACGCTGGCCTCGAACTCAGAGCTCCCACTGCGGCTATGCCCCTAGTGCTGGGATTAAAGGCGTGCACCACCACCGCCTGGCCGTGAGCCTTTCTCTCCAGGTGCCTGCAGCTACGTGGCAGCACGCTTTTCCTCCATGGGCGAGCTTCAGGGTTCCATTTCCTGCACCCTCATCGCCGAAAGTGCGCGGAGACCCGGGGCCTAGGGACACACGAGGGGCGCAAGCCCGTCCCGGACTGGAGCAAGCGGCCACGCACTCCGGCATGCCACGGAGGGAAGTGCCCGGCAAAGCAAGCTGAGACCGCTGAACACCGCCCTCCCGGGGTGAGCCCACTACTCACCGCCATCCCTGCGATAGTGCCACCGCACCAGCAGCCACTGGTTTTCGCGCGAAAACTGGATCACGTGATCCGCCCCTGCCCGGGAAACGCCGGGAGAACCCAGACGTCACCACGTCCGCGTGTATCTGAGGGCGGGAGCAGGGCTGGAGCGTTTGGTCCACACCCACAACATGCGAAGCCCAGCCCTTCTTCCTGGAAACCCGCCCACAGCGTTCCAAAGGCTGCGCCAACACCACGCGTGCAGACACAGAGGCCGAACCCTTCAGCTTGTTACGCTCTGGCGGAGAAGCAGGGTTGCTTGTGGCAACCGGCAACCTGGCCTTCCAGCTGCGGGTGTGAGACCTCGGTGTCGGTATGGCCACTTGATGCAACTGAATCTGTTTTCTGATTTTCTTTCCTGACTTGGTATCAACTTCTCCCAAAGCTTTGAGGTTCAGTCCTGCAAGCACCCAGGCTGCTGTGGGCTTTTATCAGACTGGGAGTCTTACTTGGCTGAGGTGGCAAAGGTACGGGAGGGTGTTGCAGGCGGGAAGGACTTGGTGCATGAAGCAGTAGCCTGCATGCTGGAGGGCATAGGAACTACTGCTCCCTTGGCTCACGGCTTGTAACGCCCAGCAAGGGGTGGGAGAACTCGGATCGCAGATCTGCCGTCTGTCTAGGAGTTGGAGATTTATCCTGACGTGAGGTCACCCGAGGGGTTTGTGAGAGGCAGGTGCGGGGTGAACCGCCTGGCGAGGTGGCAGAGACAGGCTGGATGTTTCCAGTGAGAGAGCTGCTGCTGTTCCATACAGTCCTAGGCAGCTGGATCTCAGCCACAGGGCAGGATGGGATTTCTGCTGTATGTACAGCATGAATAGTTCTGTACAGGGCAGAGAAGAAATATGGAAGGAAGCTCAGGAGGTGGATTCTGCAGGCCTTCTAGTACAAAAGATAACCCTAGGGGCTAAAGGATGTGTCTCTGGGAGATGGGCTAATTGCATGGCCTCTGAGACAAGAACCCACAGCCGTTTTTCTGCTGGAGGTCTCCCTCGAAGCTAGAAGCCACTGTGCTACCCAGACATATGCCGGTGATAGCAACATTCTCCACTGTGGAAGACACTGCATCCAAGTGCAGCATAAAACAAAACAAAACCAACATAAAATAACGGACACATTTTGTCACCATAATAGGATATGTTCTTTGGAAAATTGGACTGAGTCTACCCTAGGCCCCTAGACCCCGACACGCTCCAAGGATATGACAAGTCCCCAGTTCTTTACAACACTTATCTTCCTCCTTTACAGAGGCTCATCACTGGCCTGCTACTCCATGTTCATCCATTCTTACTAGCAGGATGTCATGGACAAGATAAACCAGAGCCATATCCTGACAAGAATCCAAGTGGCATGGGCGCTGCCAGACCCTGGGACAGGAGAGGCGGGCGGAGTCACCACATCCTGCAGTTGGGTTATCCCCTACTGTAATGGGATGAAAGGAGGTGTGGTTTGTAATTGTAAAGAGCAGAACAATGAGTGAAATAGGCTTACGGAGGGTCCCCAGGGCCCGGCAGACTCTAGGCTCTCAAGACAGACACAGCTGTCCACACTCGGCACTGGCGTAGGCCAGGAACACCACCTGGCAGGTCCCCATTCATGTGACTTCCGGATGCCACACTGTCCTGAGAGCAGAGGAGACTGCAATGGAGGAGCCCCTGCCTCTGCTGTCAGAGGGAAAGAGGCGTTGGATGACCTCAACAAATGCCATAATATCTCCCAGATAACCTACACATGGGTCCCAAAATTCCAAAGTCTGAAACGCAGAGTAACATACATGTTTTTGTCTTTCTGAGACATTGTCTTATTATGTAGCCCTGGTTGGCCTCAAACTTGAGGCAATTTTCCTGTCTCAGCCTCTAGGACACTGGGATTACAAGCATGTAATCTCACACCTACCTACCTACCACACCTTGTTTGCCTAGTCACTTGGTCCTAGTGTGATTGTTAGTGGATGGGGGATGCCATGGCATTCACTGCCTTGTGGAAGCTCTGAGTTGGGCTGGAGAGATGGCTAAGCAGTTAAGAGCACTATCTTCTTCCAAAGGTCCTGAGTTCAATTCCCAGCAACCACATGGTGTCCACAACCATCTATAGAGGTATCTGGGGGCCTCTTCTGGCCTACTGACTCACATGCAGGCAGAACACCATATAAAGAAATCTAAACAGCAAAACCTGAGTTCAATTCTCTGACTCCTGGAGGCCAATGAGGGCCTAGGACATGTTTTTGCCGTTATTCCTAAACAGGGTACTATATTCTCTTGGCAGAAAGTTGGGAGCTCTTGGTGATTTTCTCAGCCCACTGTGGCCATGACAACTGCTGACCTCTTAGGCAGGCAGGCAGAGATAGCTTCTCTGGCTAGGAACAAAATTGACAGGTGGGCCTAACCTGAAAACCTCAGGGAAGCTAAGTCTCACACACCAGTCACGAGGAAGTCCAGTCTCTTTCCAGTCCCACTGTGCTGCCTGGGCTATCCTGGGATCCTATAATAAGCAGGTGCCTGCACCTTCCACTGGCACTGAGTCACCCCTCAGGGTGGGGTGTGTCCTGGGCCCCTGGATGCCTGAGAAGGGGCAGGCGTGTCGATATGAGAAGCCAGGCCTGAGAATGCACAGCAGAGGCCCAGGGGAGGCCACAAGCTTGGATCCACAAGGCCTACAAGAAAGCTCGTGCGGCTGGTGCAAGGTGCAGTTAGGTAAGCAGGAGGTGGCCTGAGATAAGGCCAGGCTTCCTAGTTGCCCTGGGGGTGTCGCACACTGCTGGGGCGCCCTGGGCTGGGGGTGGGGGTGGGGAGACGTCTCTCCAGAAGGCACCTGCCTAAGCATGAGACCTGGTCTGACCACTCCCTTGTCCGATGGCTTTGGACACACTCCTTAACCCCTTCAGGAAATGTCAGGTTCCTTCTGCAAAACGCAAATAATAGCACCCAGCCTTCGAGGTAATTGGGGCTGGGGCTGGAGCCCTGTAAACTCAGGTCTCTTTGAAGTTGGCAAGCACGTAGCGTCCTAGGAAGGGCCATCTCCCCTTCCCTCTTCCCTGGTCCAGGTGACCAGAGGTCACTATTATGGGGGCCGGTTCCCGAGGCTCCGCCCTCGGAGACATGAAGCAACCCGGTCGGAGGACCGGAGTTAACTCCAGAAAGACACGGGGCAAAGGCGGAGCGTGTTCGGTGCCGCTGTCCCGAAACGTTCTAGGGGTGAGCTGTGCAGAAAGAACCTCTTTTTCCGGTAGAAGTTTCTATCGTCTATACTTTTCTTCGCTGCTTGCTGCTGTCCCTTTAAGAGTTCCGCGGGTTGCCCCGCCCCCTGAGAAATCTTATTGGCCTATTCCACTCCTGTGGGTGGGGGCCCATTGCGATTGGCTGCTGCAGGCCGGGGGCGGGGCTGAGTGCCGATAACAGGGGTCGTGACTGTTTTCGCAGCTTCGCTTAGACGAAAAACACCAGCCGAGGCGCTTGCGAGACTCCTCTGCTGCAGAGGGCCAGGGAAGTCCTCGGGTCCTGTGGGTGCTCTGCGCGCTGGCGGTGTCTGGCTACCTGCCGCCGTCCCGAGTGGAAACTCGGCCGCGGCTCTTGCGCGACGCTCCCCGGTTCTCGCTGCTTTCGGGGGGTCGGAGTCCCGCGGCCTGCGCTGCTGAGCTCTCAGGTAAGCGCGGCCGAGTCGGCTTCTGCTCCGCTGAGCTAGCCAGAAGGCCTTGCCCCTCTCCTTCCTCGGGCTCGGGCCTACCGTCCCCTCCTGTCCCGGTGCCCCTCGGGATGCAGCCGCAGGACAGCCTTTGAGAAGTTTCTGGGGACCCTAGCGGTCAGGACCGAACCCTGTGTGGGTCTGGGCACCGGCAGCTCCCGGCGCAGCCCGAGCTCAGCGGCAGCCGGAAAGGACAGCCCAGCCTCTGCCTCTGCCTCCCTGGCCTTTCGGAAGGAAGGGACAACTCCTTTCAGCTCCGTAGGGAGGAGAGGGCTGTGGGGTATGGGACACAGACCTCCAATCCTTGCCCCGTTCGGGTGCATTGTGCTGGAAATTTGTGCGCGTCGCAGCATTTTGTGAGGACAGACAGACAGAAAACATGTAAATACACCTACCGCAGATGGACTCCTAGTGCTATAAACAGCACACAGAAGAGCCGGGTGGTGGTGGAGGAATCAGGAGGTGGAGGCAGTAGGATCAGAAGTTCAAGACCTGCCTTGGGTACATGCAGAGTTGGAGGCTAGCCCGGGCCCCATGAGACCCTGCCTTTAAAAACCTACTGAAAGAACACCCAGGTGGGCCACTTGGAGGGGAAGGTAACCAGAGTGATGAAATCAAGCTGGGGGAAGGAAGGTAAGCGAGCACAGAGACCTCTGAAGTAGGTGAGATATAAGCTGGTGGCTAAAGAAGGGCAAGAAGGGTTGGCAGAGGGCAGGTCATCTGGACCATCCCTTTTTCCTGGTGTCCACGGTGGCCTCAGGATAGAGTCTCTTCTTTGTCACCAAGGCTGACAGTTTCAGAGAGGCACTGAACTTAGAATCTCTCTCCTCTGGAGATTTCCCATGCTGCCCTGCAGCTAGATTTAGAGGCTCCGCATCCTAGGAGTTAAGGGAGAGAAGTAAGAGTTTGAGTCTGCTACCCTCCTACTGGGTAGGGATCCCATATGAAAGCTCAGAAGGTTTGGGCAATTCCATCTCACAGATGGGAAAGACAAGCTCTCTCAACCGCTGCCAGGGAGAGAAGGCCCTTGGGAGGGGTGTGTGTGTGTGTCTAGGAATGTCAGACTAGGTCCCACCTAAGGCCCCAGCAGGCTAGCCACAGAGGGTGGGAGGAAGGCGAGCCCGGAGCCATGGGCAGGAGCCTGCCTCTGGAGAATGCTCTGAGGTCAGAGCTGCCCTTTCAGGTTCACAGGTAGAAGAAACCTTGCCTCAGTTCCCTGGTCCCCAGAGGCCCGGGCTCCCCCATGATGCTCTGCTACTGTTTCAAGATGTCGCAGCCCATATTTGTCTAGGTCAGCCCTCTCTCCTTCCTCTTTTTCCTGGTGGGCCAGCTCCTTTCACTTCTCTATCAGTGCATGCTGCCAAGGCCAGAAGAAGGTCTGGGGAAGGAGAGGCTCTGGGGCCGTAGGGTAGAGTCTGTGGGTCCACTGGGCAGTGCCCACCCTTCCCCTAAGGGTGCTTGCCCAGTGTTCCTTGGAGGGCAGCGCAGGGTACCGGACCTGTGTATTGGAAGGAAGAGTGTCCTGATGTATTTCTTCTCACTACTTCAGTTTCTTTCGGAGGACAGTCATCCTGTCAGGTGCAGTGTGCTTGGCTGCCTCCCAGCCCCAGTGCTGCTGGAGCGGAATATTCTGGGTCTGGAGTGTGGCTTGGTAGCTCATAGGCCTCTGCCTGCTTAGCAGTGTCCACTTGCTCAGGTAGAGATGAATACCTTGAGCCACTGCTAGGTGTAGAACTGGCCAGAATGTCAGGATCTGGAGGGGACAGCTGGACTATGGGCAGCTGGAGGCCATACCTCTGAATATTTGTACCTCCCAGGGATGGGTTCCCAGTCCTACAGTGGAGTGTCACAGGTGGCAGCAGACACCTCTGGTCCTTCTTCCCAGAAAAGCCACTGGACCTTGTAAGGACACCTGGGTCCATGGGCAGACCCCCCCCCCCCTCCGCCCCACATTCATTTCCTCAGCCTGTAGGAAACTCATCCATTGCTAGCTTCTGTAGACATTTTCACAGCTTGCCTTTTTTGGCTGTCATAGCAACCTTGCTGGATAGCTGTGATTGTCCCTGTGACACTCAGAAGGGAAGTGACTCATCAGAGGTCACACAGCAAGCAGGCGAGGGCCAGGAATGCCATCCTAGTCAGGCTTGCCAATTCTGTAACCTACAGGAGATGGGAACCAGGCCCGGGGACACAAACCTGTTGTTGCTTTAGCTATTAGGAGACTGAGGCAGGAGAATCACAGGTTCAAGGCTGGGCAGCATAGGGAGACCCTGTCTCAGAAGGAGGATTAGGGATGTAGGTCAGTGGTCCAGTGGTCCAGTGCTTGCCTCAAATAGGACCAGTCTCCAGCAATGCAAGATAAAGAAGCAAAAATATATGTTTGAGACATTGAGAGGTCAAACTCAGACACCCTAGTAGTGAAGAGGACTTGCCGGGGGTCTTATGATCGGGAAGGATGGGTGTCATGTGTGGCTGAATCCAGGGGTTGCTGGGAGTTCACAGTTTCTCTCTGCATCCAACTTGTGGCTCTGCCCTTTGTGAGCTTTCTCTCCAGAGCCCCAGCCCAGTGTCACAGTTGGCCTGCTGACCTCAGCAGGATAGGTTATCACTGGCCAGGGTGCTGCAACTTTCTGGTTGGCCAGGCTTGGATATGCTCACATTTCCTGACATTTGTGCTTTGTGGAGAGCAGGAGCGCTGGCTGAGCTCTCTCGGGAAAGTGGGGCCCTCTTGCTGCCTCACCCTTGTCCTATCCTCTCTGACCTGTTGCAGTGCTTCCTCCCTGTCTCACCTTCTGCTAGGCCTGCCCATCCTCTGCAGTAGCCTACGGGACCCTGCCCAGGTGAAATGGGACCCTGTCGCCTTTTTTGGAAAGGCCTTTTTCAGTACTCTTGAGAGTGCAGTCACACTGCATGTAGGTGTGCTACCCCATCTGACCCGGCCACCCCAACCCTGTTGATCTGTCCAGCTGCCCAGGCCTATTCTTTTTGGTCTTTGGCCAAGTCTGTTTCTACCTCAGGGCCTTTGTGTTTGCTGTTCTCTCCAAAGAATGTTCTTTATCTAGAGTTTTCCAAGGTTGACTCCTCAGTCACGTGTCATCTTGACTGAACACCAACCTAAACCAACCTTCACATGTTCCCTGGAACTCAGCCTTAACTGTGAAGCAAGGCCATGATAACTGGATAGAAGACCGTGCTGTCTTTGGAAACAGCCTTGGGCGTGTATGGAGGGACCCACAGAGCATCTTTCTTGCTACTTTCTGACTTCAACACATGCTTCTGTCTAATGGTCTAACATGGCTGCTTGTGTTCTATCGTGTTCATATTCCAGCTGATGGGAAGAAAGAAGGGCACGACCTGAAACTGGCGAGTCGCGCTCTGCTGCTGCTGTCCACGTGGCCAGTCTCTCCTGCAAGGGAAGCTGGGGAAAGCAGACTGAAATCCAGGCTTCTGCTGGTAAGAAGTGTGGATACTGGGGACTTCCCTGTGTGTGCTGTGTTTCTGTCCTTGTGTCCCACTCCGCTGTCTTCTCAGCACTTCTCTCCAGCAGAAGTTTGCGTTTTACTTATAAAGGTTTGTGTCTGCTCTCTTTCTGTCCCTGGGAGGAAGACCTCAGGAGAGTAGGCCTTGCCTGCCCTGTCCCTGCCATATCCAAGTGATCCAGTGAGTTGTTGGGTACACTGACCACATGGCTGGTCAGATCTGCTGGGCAAGCAGAAGGATGCATGAGTGATGGATGATTGCTCCATTCGCCTTTGCCATCGTTGGGGCTGGGAAGAAGCCAGTGTCTTTGGAGGAACCAGGCACATACTTCCTTCCTTAATCTTCCCCATCAGCAAGCTGGAGGTGTAACAAATCAGAGCCAGGGCACAGCCTGTTCAGAGAAGGCTGGGGACCGGGTCTTGGCTGCCTGTTTAGGGGTTTCCTGTCCCTTTCAGCAGAGATAGCACTAGAGTGTATAATGGCCCCAGCAAACTGAGATGTCCCTGAGTCTCCCAAGGCCTGCCTCTTCTTGCTGCTGTCCAGAGAGCTTTAAGTAGACCTACAGGGCTCCTTTTGCTTTATCTCCGGGAGAGGGGGACAACACCAAGCTCCTGGCCATTCCTGCCACAGGCAGGTCATCAGGCCACGACCTTTTCCTGTATAAAGCTTTCTGAAGTTTTCCTGCTAGTATGTAGGATCGTGCGCCCCCGCCTGGGTGGAGTGCCTGGGGCGCAGTGTGCCCCCCTAGGCTGCAAAGTGGATCCCAGCATTGTTTCCATATTGGTCACGTGTGGCGTGTCTGGATCCACCCACCTCACATTGGGGAGGCCCATTCATTTTGCCAGCAATTCAGGTTCATTCTTTTTACTGCCATCTTGTGGTCACGGGCTGACACTGCATCCCCTGCCTGGATACTGGCTGTTTTGAGTGATTCTTAACCCTGATATCATCACCCATGAGTCCTGGGGCTCAGCTTGTACTGCAGGAAGCCCTTTTGCCATTCCCATGCAGTTATCTCATCAAGATTCCTCATCTAGGGTTTTCTGGCCACCGTTAGTCTCCTCTCTTCAAGGCATTGCAGGGACACCAGATCCTCAGCTCTCTGGTCCCCCAGACTGAACATCAGTCTTTTCTACCCAGATGGCCACAAAGACGGTAACCTCTGGGCTACTCTGGCTTCCAGCTTCTCCTGGCAGCCTGGCCTTCTCAGATGCACCACCCTTGCCCTCTCTCTTTGTACCACTACTCCAGGCCCTATATCTAGAGACCTCCGTGTCTTTCCAGGTATCCCCTCCACCTGTAGCTGCTTTCCCAGTGCAGCAGAGAGGGTTCCTCCGAGGACATTAGTGGCCGTGTGGCCTCATAGATCAAATGGTGGGTTAATTTTTGCAAGGTGGGGTTAGGAGCCACATCACTGAGCCTTCAATCCTGCTGAGCATTCTACATCACCATGGCAGGGGCAGGGTGGGGGCCGTGCTCTGAATTCCTTCATCTCTTGAGACTGGAGGAAGAATCTGGAAGGTATGTTGTCACTGCTTTCTGGCACATGATTCTCAGTAATTGGTTTGGGTGACTGTCAGGGGGCAGAGGCTTAAGGCAGAGCCTGAGAGGAGGGCCCATGCCCTGTACAGAGCTAAGAGCCCCCTCAGTCTTCTCCCTGCCTCCTACCAGGCGAGTCTTAAGTATGACTTCTACTCTGCGCTGCCACTTTGGTTTTCCCTGAGAGCCTTAGGCCGATGGAGGAGGGCCAAGACCCTGTGCCCTAACCACATGGGCTTGTCTTCAGGGCCACTGCTGGTGGAATGGCCAGCCTGCAGGAGGCCAATGGAAGCACAGCGTGGCCACCGCCCGCAGCATCCAATATCAGTGAGCCCCACCAGTGCCTGCTGCTGCTGTATGAGGATATCGGCTCCTCCAGGTAGGGTTCCTGACCCTGCTGAGGGTGGGCTGTGGGTGGGCTCTCAGCATGTCATGGGCTGGGGAACTGTGGATCTACCTCACCAGTGAGATAGCTTCTGTGCCCTCTGCCAGGGTCCGGTACTGGGACCTCCTGCTGCTCATTCCCAATGTGCTCTTCTTCATCTTCCTGCTCTGGAAGCTTCCCTTAGCTCGGGCCAAGATCCGTGTCACCTCCAGCCCCATTTTTATCACCTTCTACATCTTGGTGAGTTTCCTCCAATCAGTGACAGATAGCCTATCTCTGATTTAAGCACAAAAGGAAAATGAATGAATTGCTTCCATAACGAAAATGGCTTCAGTTATGGCTGGATCCAGGGACTGTTCCTCTTGCTCTTTACTGTACTCGGTTCTCTCCATGGAAATGATGCCAAGGACAGCTGGGAGCTCACCTGGCTTTTCCAGCTGCACCAGGGAATCCCTCTTTCCTGGCCTGTAGGGGAGACTTAGCCTGGCCTTGAATTGTCCCATCTAGGATCCCACATTCCTGCCTGAGCCAGTTAGCAAGGAAAGGGAAGGTTGAGGCAGGTCAGTAGACCATGCTGACTGAAGGAGGCAGGTGATCCCTGTGGGAACATGGGGAATTGGTACTAGAGGGATGGAATGAACGTTGATGAGGAAAATGTTCACAGCAGCCCCATTCAGTCGTCCATTCTTCCACTTATGTAATGGTTTGGCAGCAGTCTCACCTGACAGAAGGACCTGTAGTCTCAGCCTTTGGTGGGCCCTATGCATGTTGCTTTGGGGATATGGAGCAAGGCTGTGCATGAGGCAGAGGCTCTAAGGGTAACCTCCCTGGGTGTACCCCCACTTCAGGGTGTGGGACTCTTTTTTCCTTATGGAGAGGAGCCTAATTGACTGGAGTACCCTACATTGAGGCTCTGAGATGTCACTCCAAGAGCTGAGTGGCTCCCTGGTCTCTTCTGTTGTCAGACTCTAAGCTTCCCACCATTGGTGTGTAGTGGGCAAGTAGGGAGACATGACGTGGGGAGCACTGGGGGCTAAGGAGGTAGAAGTGGAGCAAAGGCTGGCTTTCTTCTGTCACTTGCCTAAGGTCACAGAGCAGGGAAGCAGGGGGCCTAGGAAAGCTCCAGCTGCCTGGTCCTCTAACCACGGTGAGACAGTGGGTCTTCGGGTGGGCAGCAGTGGAGTTCTCCATGCCTGAGCCCTGTGTTGGGACCTGCCTTCTTATGTCCCCCTCACCCTCCCTGTCCTATTCCTTATCTGGTTACAGCCTCCCATTCTTGAGTGGATCCTGCAGAAGTGAGGCTTTGTTAGTCCTAACACTACACTCTGTCCTTCTCTTGCCCTGCAGGTGTTTGTGGTAGCCCTGGTGGGCATTGCCAGGGCTGTGGTTTCTATGACGGTCAGCGCCTCCGATGCTGCGACAGTTGCTGACAAGGTGCAGGGGGGAAGCCAGTCTGGTGGAGGTTATGATGTGCCCTCTGTACCCTGATCCACCCTGAGTTGGAGAGACTCAGGATATCTATCTGGGTGGAGCCCACCCTCAGTTGACCCTGTGCCTCTCTGTGCCCAGATCCTGTGGGAGATCACCCGCTTTTTCCTGCTGGCCATTGAGCTGAGTGTAGTGATCCTGGGCCTTGCGTTTGGTATGTGTGCTGTAGGGCTGTGCTGAAACCCGGACCCGCTCTCCCTACCCTTCCTGCAATTACCCACAAGTGGATCCTAGGAGGAGGGGCTGACTCACCCTGTACCTTACAGGTCACCTAGAGAGCAAGTCCAGCATCAAGCGGGTGCTGGCTATCACCACAGTACTGTCTCTGGCCTACTCAGTCACCCAGGTATGTGTGTAGGGAGGTATCAAGGGTCTTGTTTCTAAACTGTGAGTGTTTCCAAGGAACCACATGGACCAGGCAGGGCCACCTTCCCCTGGACGCAGACCATAAGTGAGCCCCAGGAAGGCTAGGAAAAGTGTGAGAGCTGGTGTCTGGACAGGCACTCTGAGAGTATATGAGGTGGGGCCTTTTTTTTTTGTTTTTTGTTTTTTGGTTTTTTTTTTGTTTTTGTTTTTGTTTTTTTTTAGGCTGGATAGGGCCGGCCTTGAAGGCTTTGTCCACAAGGGACTCAGCCAGGGTCTGAACTGCCCCTGGAGTTAGGTGGGTAGCCATGGCTGGGGCATAGGCAAGGGTGGGGCCTGGCATGCTGGAGAGCCCTGGGCTCTGCAAGGGAAACCCAAGAGACGCTCCAGTGCTAGGACTGACCCGACCTCCTCACCTACAACAGGGGACTCTGGAGATCCTCTACCCTGACTCCCATCTTTCGGCTGAGGATTTCAACATCTATGGCCATGGCGGCCGCCAGTTCTGGCTAGTCAGCTCTTGCTTCTTCTTCCTGGTGAGGTCTGGCGTGCTCCCTGGGGGCAGGTGAAATAGCCTGGCCCGGCCCGGCCCGGCCTCCCTGTCACCCCTGTCTCTGCAGGTCTACTCACTGGTGGTAATTCTCCCCAAGACCCCGCTAAGGGAGCGTGTGTCCCTGCCTTGTGAGTATCTGCTGGGGCAAGGGTGTGGGGGCATTGGCCTGTTCCGGCCTGCAGCTGGGGAGCACTGGGAAGGAGCATCGCTTCAAGGTTTATACCTGAAGGGTAGGGTGGTTCAGAAGCTCATGACCCTTGCCCCCTAGCGCGGAGGAGTTTCTACGTGTATGCAGGCATCCTGGCCACACTCAACTTTCTGCAGGGGTTGGGGAGTGCTCTGCTGTGCGCTAACATCATTGAGGGGCTCTGGTAAGAGGGTGCCCACCGTGGGAGTGGGTTGGGCCTGGGTGGAGTGGCTACCACCGTGGCAGAAGGGGTCCCCATTCCTTTGGGCAAGGCATGGGGTCAGGGCAGGACCACAGGCCCTGGCCATGCTGACCTGCTCTCTACCACAGCTGTGTGGATGCCACTACCTTCCTGTACTTCAGCTTCTTTGCACCGCTCATCTATGTGGCCTTCCTCCGTGGCTTCTTTGGGTGAGTGATGGCCAGACTTATGCACTCCAATGTGCCTGTAACTACTGTGTATGCATGGCCATTGGGGTGGGTGTGCAGAGGGCACTGAATGGCACTATGTATCTCTTTGCGGATGTGCAACAAGCACAGACGGCTGCATTTCCCACCAGACAGGGCTGCAGCTTAGCAGTGCTGTTCCATTACCTAATTTGTCAGCAGCACCTACTATGAGCTAGACGCTGCTGTACAGACCCCAGGGGAGCAAAGCAGGCATGAGGCAGCAGCATGTACCTGGCAGGGGCCCTGAGGGTCCCCAGTGAGCTGAGGCACAGGTGCTTGTGGGTAACGTCAGAGGCTAGGATGCAGGGACCGGCTGATAGGGTGGAGTGCAGGCAGGGGCTTGCTGTCCTGTCAGGGCTGGGGTGATGGACATGGACTATCTCTGGGGAGGCCTAGGTAAGGCTATAAGGGGCTGCTGCCTGCACCAATCTGCATAGGCTGCTGCTCTATTGGGCCTCCTCTAGTTATCCTGAAGACCAGGTTCGGGAGTAGGCAGTCATATGCTGCAGGCATGGAGGTCACACATGGCCAGGGTTGGTGAAGGCTAGGGTTTAGTTTATTGTCTCCCATGGGGTGCTGACACACCCATGGATGGGGAGGTATGGAAACCCCTGCCGCAACTCTCAGGTGTGTGTGGGACCAGCTTCAAAATAAATCTTGGTGGGCTCAAGGGTTCCTTCAGGGACCTCAGATGAGCTAGGCTTCTGTCTGGCCCCTGCTCCTCCTGACTGCAGTGCTTCCTCCGCACTGTCTCACCAGCTCAGAGCCCAAGATCCTTTTCTCCTACAAATGCCAAGTGGATGAGGCTGAAGAGCCAGACATGCACCTGCCACAACCGTACGCGGTGGCCCGGCGCGAGGGCATAGAGTCTGCAGGCCCTGCGGGGGCCTCCGCAGCCAGCTATTCCAGCACGCAGTTCGACTCTGCCGGGGTGGCCTACTTAGATGACATTGCCTCAATGCCCTGCCACACGGGCAGCATCAACAGCACAGACAGCGAGCGCTGGAAAGCCATCAATGCCTGAGTGGCCACCCAGGCATCGGGAGGTCTGTGAGGACAGCTGGGCTCCCAGGTGGAGCAGAGTGCAGCTGAGGAACTTGTGTGGATACCCCCTAGGGACAGGTGTACCTGTGCCCTAGGCACCGGGCTCTTCCTGTTCTCCATCCCCACTTCTCCTTTGCTGACTCTGCTCCAGCTTGGGACCCCCACGTTCCCAGCACTACGTTCCTGCTGGGGTCCTGCCTGCCTACCCCCTTGTCCCTTCCCTACAGCTCTCAGCCTCCTTAGCCACAGGGCCGCAGTGTGTATATTTTCTTGATCTATTTTTTAATAAAAGCAGAAAGCGTAGTAGGTGTGTGCTGATGCCTTTCTTCAGCAGGGCCGTACAGGTGGCAGGGAAGCCCCACCCAGTGATGTCCCCAGAACTGGCTGCCAGGGCAGGGTGAGGAGCAGGCCACTTGTTGGAGGGTAGGAGACCAATGTGGAAAGAAGGGAGTTCTGGGAGCTGAGGTCTGTGAAGTATGGTGGAGCCTGTGGTCCCTACCCCCTTTGGCTCCTTACACTCTCATCTCGGGCCATCCCTCCAGCAATGTCATCAATAAAGTAGGGGCAAAGGGACCCTTCTAACCCTGTGTGTACCAGTCACCTGCCATGACAACTCACTGTAAGTCTCTGGACAGTGCAGGACCCCGGAGGGATCCTGGCTCAGAGCAGAACAGGTGGAAGAAAGTGCTGGGAGTGGGCTGGGGCCATGGCTCGAAGGTAAGAGTGCTGGCTGCTCCTACAGAGGACTTGAATTCGATTCCCAGCACCTATCTGGCAACTCAACCATCTAATCCCAGGGGATCTGCCCCCTTCTGACATCTTCAAGCACAAGGTACATATGTGGTACACAGACATCCTTGCATACAAAACACCATGTACATTAAAATATAACAGTAAAACAAAAGGCTGGAACTGGAGGGTGTTCTATAAGACATGGTAGGAAAAATGAGCTCAGTCTAGTAGGTGACCTCCAGGCAGGAGGTCTGCCAAGGTCATAGCCAAGCCAAGTGGTCAGAGCTAAGAGGCAATCACAGCTCAGCTGGGTGTCTACCTGTCCAGTGGCTGGCCCTCAGGCCAGGAGGGTGCCAAGGGCACAGCCCCTAACATCTTGTCACATGGTAAGGCCCCCATGGAAGAGCCCTTGGGATCTAGGCCTGGACATTTCAGATGACCTGGTATGGTCAGTGAGCTTGAGCACTGGCGGTGAAGGGGCAGACCACAAAGCTGGCAGAGTCTTGGAGCTTCTTTCATAAGGCGCACACAGGAGTCTGGGATGTGGGTGTGGAGAGCTTGCTCTCCCTGAAATTCCAGCAGCTGTGGGAACCACCAAGGAGGATTGGGCAGTCAAGTACAGAGCCGGGTTCATGCTGTTGCTGAGTGTGTGTGCGTGAGTTGTACATGAATGTGAGTGTGCATGTGTGTGTGTGTGTGTGTGTGCGTGCACGTGTTTAGTGAGTGTGAAGGAGTAGGCTGTGACATCACAGTAGCAAACTTTGCTTGTCAAGCTGTTATTGAGCAAGCTGTGGGAGCCACCACAAAGCTGAGGCAGATGCCAACTTTATTACTGGGCTCTCCCAGCTTCGGGGAGGCAGAGGAGGGTGGATCTCTGAGCTTAAGGCCAACCTAGTCTACAAAGCAAGTTCAGGACAGCCAAGGCTACACAGAGAAACCCTGCCTCAAAAATACAGAGAGAGATTGAATTTTATGTGAATGCATGTATGTGTGGGTATATGCTTGTTCTATGTGTGTTGTGGGAGGTTGCCCACAGGGACCAGAAGAAGGCATTGGATCCTCTGGAGCTGGAGTTACATGGTGATGAACCTAAAGTGGGTCCTAGAAACACAGTCCAGTGGTGGTGGTTAGTTTTATGTCAACTTGACATAAGCTGACGTCATCTGAGAGGAGGGGCCCTCGAATGAGAGCATGCCTCTATAAGATCGGGCTGTGGGCAGGCCTGTATGGCAGTGGTTCTCGCCTTCCTAATGCTACAACGCTTTAATGTGGTGGTCACCAACCATAACATTATTTTTGTTGCTACTTTATAACCGTAATTTTGCTGTTCTAAATCGTATAAATATCTGTGTTTTCTGATGGTCTTAGGTGACCCTGTGAAAAGTTGTGACCCACAGGTTGAGAACCACTGATGGAGTTATTTTTCTTAGTGACTGATGTGGGAGGACACGCTCTGAGGCTGGTGGTCCTGGATCCTATTGGGGAAAAAAAAAAAAGGCAGGCTGAGCAAGCTGTGAGGAGCAAGCTGGTGAGCTGCACTTCCCCATGGCGTCTGTCAGCCCCTTCAGGTTCTGCCCTGTTTGAACTCCTACCCTGACTTCCTTGGCTTTTGGTCATGGTGTTCCATCACAGCAACAGAAAATCTGACCAAAGACATCAGCCCTCTCTCTGTGAGAGTAGTCTGTGCTCTAAAACCACCGAGCCATCTCCCCAGCTTTTTTGTTTTGTATTGTTTTGTTTTGTTTTAAAAATGAATGCAGACACTTTACACATGGAGAAGCAGAACAAAGCAAGGCGCAGTAAACGTCTGTTGCCGATGTGGGTGGTGGAAGGTGACCTTCCCCCTCTGACTTTGACGTTATCTCTACAGGCAGGGCAGGAGCTGGCGCCTTGGAGCTAGCCTGCCTGCCGTGCTCACCAGGAGGCTGCTATCGTTTCACCTTTGAACCTTGAGAGCACCGCAGCTGTCCATGCCCCATCTCAGTGGGTCTTGGTGGCCTTTCCAGGCAGGTGGGAGAAGGGCCTCTCTGTAGGTGTGGGTGCTCAGTCATGACCAGCAAGCCACCTGGAGAGGCTTGATACTGCCGCAGTGAACAGTACAACTCTAAACCCTCTGGAATTCACAGTTAAAGTACTTTTAATCAGTCTTCTACAGGGACTAAGAGTTGTTCTCCCAGATAGGCCTTATTATTATTTTTTCATTTCCTACTGTAATAGAAGCCCTGCCTTTTGGGGGGATTGGTGAGACTCGATGCACAACTGCTCCTAATTGAAGCCTATGCTTTCTAGCCTCCCCTGAATGATGGGCCCAGCAGCCAAGTTCTGGTCAGTGGGATGGAATGGGCAAGCAGCATTCTGCCCAGAAGGAGAGGGACAGGGCCCTTTCCAGCTCTTGGAGCTGTCCTTGTAATGGCTGTGGTAACGGTAGCCATTTTGAACCGTAGGTTACCTCGGGGACCAGAAGCCTCTCCCGCAACAAGATACAGGGGCTGATATCCCTGACACTGCAAAGTGTCTGCCATGGCCTTGTAATTCAGCTTTCCAATGGCTTTTGGAATGAGCAAGATAAATGGCTATCTTTTTTAACCACATTGGGCTCTCCCCTCACACTTGAACCTAATCTTAGCCAACACACCAGGCTGCCAATCACATGCTGTGTACGCCTTGTCTTTCTGAAGAGTCTGCCTTGGGCAAAGCCTGTCAGCCAAGCAGCCAGCCTGACTGTGGCTTATGCCAGCACCCACTGCTTTGAACTCTCCATGGATGAAATCTCCAGGCCAACTGCAGCTGTTCACTGCCAAAGCACTCAGGCTCCTGAAGGCTTTGGCCACTGTTTGAAGCCCTGAGTGCGAGAGCTTTTTACCATAACAAGCCTTTTGGGGCTGTGGGGGAGGACTCTGGCAGACATTTTTATCCAAAAAGCAGCGGAAGTCCTGTGATTGGTGCAAATATGATTTCTCATTTGCATGAGGGACTGCTATGATTGGGGACAAAGTGGTCCCTCATTTGCATGTTGTGAATAAAGTTCTTTTTTTTTTTAATGTGAATAAAGTTCTTTATGTTACAGAAAGGGCTGGGCTGTGGTTGGTGCTGATACCTGACACACACATACCTTTGAAAGCTGCCGGCCTGGCTCACCCTTCCAGTCTGCTGACCATCCTATGCTGCCCCCTGGTGTCAAGAGCAGCTTCAGCATCGGCTCTGAAGGCCGCTGAGGAGAGGAGAGGACAGCAGAGAAAAGGGATGGCAGAAGGGATAGTGTTGGTGCAACAGAGATGGTGGAGAGCTAAGACTGTAGGAGTAGAAGGCTGTGAGGAACTACAAGTCCAAGTCACTGGAGGAGTTTCCATTCTTTGCAGTTCTTAAGAGCTGCTCTCACCACACCACAGGCCTAGAGCTGAGCACTAGTTGATATGATGTGCCCTGCTGTAAGCATAAGAGCTGTAACCCTGGTGACTGATGATGAAAGGCATGTGCCGTCATGGCTGGCCTTACTTGTTCTTCTTTTAAAGATGTATTTATTTTTGTTTTGTGTGTGAGAGTGTTTGCCACACGTGTGCAATGCCTGTAAGGCCAGAGGAGAGTGTTGGATCCCCTGGCACTGAAATTATAACTGACTGCGAGACACTATGAGGGTGCTGGAGACTGACCCTCAGTCGTCTGCAAGAGCAGCCAGTGCTCTGAACCACTTCTTCAGTCACTTATTCAACTAGACTTTGTTATATAGTGCAAGATGACCTTGAACTTCTGAGCCTCCTACCTCTACTTCAAACGCTGGGATTATAGGCATGAACCACCACAGCCAGTTTATTCAGGGTTTCAGGCGCATTTGACAGGAACTATACCAACTGAACTGCATCCCCAGCAAACGCAGGGGAGTGCTTCTCAGTCCCCTTCTGCCGCCTTCAGTTTTCTCCATCTCAGGCTGATCGTGTTGGGGGTGTGGTGTGGTAGGGGTGGGGCAGGAGGTGGCTGCAGAGGGGAGCTTCTCTGTTGAGACACTCTCCATGGTCTCTTCCTATCTATTTATACAGTACTCTACCTGCATGTGTGCCTACACACCAGAAGAGGGCACCAGATCTCACTATAGATGGTTATGAGCCACCATGTAGTTGCTAGGAATTGCACTCAGGACCTTCAGGAAGAGCAGACAGTGCTCACAACCACCGAGCCAGCTCTCCGGCCCCTCCATGGTCTGTTTCTAAGCAGCCTTCTAGGAGCCCCAGGTGATAAGGGGAGCTGTTGTGTGATTGGCCCCAAGGCTTGACTGCTAGAGCATGCCTAATGCTTGGTTCCTCGTATCACTTGGCACTGAGGCCTCAGCTGCGCACTGTAGCCTGTTGTGAGGTGGGTGCAGCACTACTGCAGTCAGATCTCCTTCGGGGCCTGGAGTGAAAGGTTTGGTTTCTTTTATGTTTTGTTTGTTTTGTTTTGTATTGTTTTGTTTTGGTCCCAAATGTGGGATGTGGAAATGTTTTTAGTTCATTCTCAGTTGAAAACAAACACATGAGAGGGCCCATGATCTTGGTCAGCTGAAAAGGGGCAGGTGAGCGGGCATGTGATGTTTTGCT